ATATTTTACATGCACCCCAGGATTACTGAGAAGGATTACAATCACCCTGGGACTACTCAGTGGGCTGATTGGTTTTGGTTAGGTTCCTAGTCTTGAGAGGTAAAACTGGGAAGCTTTTGAACGCTATTATTTACATTGAGCATATCTATCACGCACGCGGGCATTTGCCTAATTATTGTATTCACAGAGGAAGGAAAACAGATGTTGTAACTAATTGTACTGGACAAAGGAATAGCGCCATCACTGCGGGACAACATTACAAAAATAATAGAAACAGGATATGAATGATTTTCGGCGATCATTTACCGTTTTAAAACGCCCAGTCTTTTCGTGCTGCTGAGTTTGAAGCAGGTTCTGCCATGCCGTAAATGATCATCATGCAATCCTAGTGCTGTCATCCTTTAATTGGAGTCCGGTATAAGGTTTCCTGCCTCTATGAGTAGACATTCAGTGCATTTGGACCTATTTATTTATGACGATGTTTGGATTTTACCAGCCTTTTAATCTTGAATGAACTGTACAAGGAAAGGACATACACTACAATGCCAGGTAATGCCAAGGACAAAATGAATAATTTTAAACACGGATGTAATATTATAATACAAGATTGTCATCTAAGTTTCAGTGCACGAAAAAGTTTCTCCAAATCAACTGTAAGACACCAAGGTCCGATTTTATGGAATAAAACCAACACATACCGTTTATCAATTCAAGAAAAATCTCAAAGAGTTTCTTACTTAAAAGTGATTTTAACTCATAAATATTCATGGTACTATTTATATGTATTACGAAAGACCTAATTCTAATCCTTAACTGCCTTAATCTTAAACCAGCTAAATGTATTTGTATTGTATTGAGACGATTTGATTTTACTTATATTTCGTCGAAAACGTGTAGAAATGGAATTTTCATCGTAAGACGGGGTGCTGGGTCTCGCATAAGCCTCGGCCTTTTTTCCCTAGCATGCTACATCTTCGTATATTGTAAATGAATTAAAATCTAAATAACATTGTGTTTCTTGTTACTCTGAATTTATTTTCATTGTTCATCTAGCTGCAATGTGAATGAAGATGTGAAATAAACCAAACCAAATACGGATGTACGTTTTTATGTAACCGATTTTTAAAAAAAAATGATGGTCAACATGTCATGCACTAGACTGAGGGCTCCTTATCCAGTTTACGACCGTGAGGACTTGGAATCTTTAAGACCTACCTGAAACCGCTGTAAACAATGTATGTCATTTATAATATTTCATCATCGTTTCCGCTTGTCCGCAAAATGAGACATTTAAAAAAATCCTTTGCCTGACCCCCGGAAACATTCCTTGATCTGCCCCCAAATTAATTTCCATGAACATGTGGGAACTATGATAGCAGGTTTAGCATAACGGTAGAACGTGCCTGTGAGCATGCTTAAGTTTTCCTCAAAGTCTTCATCCTTTGCCCCCAAAATCTACTTAGCGAAAGGTCGTTTACTTTCCCCATTTGAAACCAAAACTACACCAAGGTTATACATTTTTAAATCACTCTCTTTAGGATTTTGAAAAATGAACACAGAAATGAAGAAAAAATTCTCTTGAATGATGGTCTAAATCCATGCACAAACTAATATGAATTTTTGAGACGCGGTGCTGGCACTCCAGTTTGCTGACACACAGGTGACGTGGGGCGGAGGTGTCTAGTTGGCCTTGGGGGCCACCATCACTAACCGTAAGTGTACGTTTGGGAGAAAAGGTTGTTAGACACATCTCCCCAGCAAAGTTCGTGTCTCCTCAGTTCCATGTCACTTTTTGCAGGTCTTGAACTTGTATATATAGGCCTACATCTTACATTGACTGATGCATATTTCGTATCTTCTGGTAGAATAACCGTAATCTGTTACATAATGTAAATCAACACAATCATGGGAGTCCGTCCACAATGTCGTTATCATATCGCCGAGCTGTGTCTGTACGCCATTTTCGAAGTTCCTCAGTGGATAGATTTTGTTGCAACAGCACAGTCAGGAACTCGAACAGTTCCAAGGCCTTGTCCACGATAATTTCTCATCAGGATTGAGGTATCAACAGGGTTCTGTCATGTTGGCCATCGTTTCTGCCGATTCAGTTTTGTTATGGTCGTTTCTCCTTATAATTGTCCTCCTGCTCATCAGCTATGTTCGCGCAACGGCAAGGTTGATCAGCCGATCAGGTTAGATTTTTCCCCTTTCATCGTTACGTTCAATTCAAATCCTAACAATGTGCAACTTTTCTGTCTATAAAGATAACTTTTTTAATTGTGATATTAACCGGGTGTCACTTTTAGATAAATTTGAATCGGGTGTCTGTGTGACCGCAAAACTTGTCGACGGCCCTTCGACTACCTAAATTATTTGGATATTAGGGTACTTAATTAAGTCAAGGCAGGTTGCACTGGAAATAGCACAATTTTCAAATTGCTCACTTTTGAAAATTTGGAAGTTTATCGCACTGGGAACACGAACCCCGAATAGGTAAATGCATGGAGTTAGTTAGATATGAGATGACAAATGAATAGTAACTAGTGATAAAAACATCTATGATGAGGGAAACTTAATATCAGTGGCGGAACCGTAAAAATTAAGGTGCAATTTCTGAGGGGTACCCGGCCGGAGGCTATAATAAGTGTGTGGCTTTTATGTGCACACCTTGGGGGCACCCTGGAAAATTGGACTTGCACTGGGGGTGGGGTGGGGGCCCCATGCCCCCCCCATATTCAACACCACGACTTTAGATGATCAATATTACAATTATTACAATCTATATCTTATATATAGCACCCCTAAACAACGATATCGGTAAGTTGGAAAAACTGCCAATATCTTTATAACTGATATACAATGTAATTATGATGCCTACCTGTACATTAAATGGGGTTCATTCTCGTCATGATTTATGCCTTAAAATTTCAAAGTTTTGACGTAGGCTATTTCTGTTGTCATTCTCAGTCAATAAAATTTCATGGAACTCGACATTCAAAGTGATGGTAATGCATGAAGCAGTCACCGTTAGGACCCTGTCACACCTTGACGATTTAGCCAGCGTATGTCGACGTATGACGCTAGCGAACGTCGAATAAGTTGTGGGTAAATAAGTCTTGAAGGTTTGCATGGTGAAGAGGTATATTAGAAAGTAGGTTTGCGGTAGCACCA